CTCAAGCGTGAATATTTATTTTTTGTTTATTTATCGAGCCGATGGGATTGCTGCAGTGAGCCTCATTATGGGCTTTATCAAATCCAATTATGTCCCGGGCTGACAAATTTCTGTTTTTCTCCCATTCGCTATGTCAAAATATCAATTTGCTGTGCAAAAAAATAATATTAAAAGAACGTATTTTCCAAATGAGCCGGACACAAAAACTGACGCAGGAAAAACAAATGGGATTTTGCGGGTGCCACGTCAAATAAATCAAGCAAAAATAGAAAACAAAATGAAAATGCTGCACACCATTAAAATACAATATTAAATGCAATCAGTGTTTGGCACAGAATTACATAATCCATTGCGCATAATTGAAAATTTAATTTCATCCTACCAAAGACTAGATTTTCATACAATTTCGATGGGCAGAGGATGTGTGTGTGTGTAAGTTGGCGGGAAATTGTGGCGAAATATTTATTCCTGAAATGTTGACCTTTTTGTATTTAAATGGAAAACCAATAAATTGCGGCGGAATATTTGAATGACTTTGTGTTAGAAGCCAGTTTGCATTAAATATTTTGCATTGCCATGGATTTTATCATATGTCATGTCATATTTTTGTTATGCAAATGTGGAAGGACATGACCCAATAGTTAACTGAAATGGCTTAGGATTTTGTTACTATTAACCAAAGATAATTTAAGTAAAAGCAAAAGCTTGTTTAAATATTTTGTAAATAATGTACTCACAAATTAAAATTAGCTTAAGACCTTTAAATTCTTTGCCACTTAAATGGAAAAAAAACAAATTTGTTTTCCAGCATTTATTTTCTTTAATGTCCGTTTTCATTCCTCCCTTGGCTCCGTTTTACCCTTGGCCCAAATGCATTTGAGCCGGCTTTTCATTGCGCTTTGATTACCAGGGAGCCAGTGTTGTTGCCTTGACTTTTGGCCTCCGTCGCCGTCGTTCTGTTTTTCATTTACGTCTGTGAATTGAATCAAGTTTGCCTCGTTTCCGGTGAACGCGAATGATTTTTTTTATTTTCTTTTTTTTATTCCAACTTTCTTTGCCATGGATGCAGCCAAGTTTTTTCCGCCGGAAAACACAACATCCGCTTTTTATAAATTCTCAATTGTGCGCGAAAATTCAGCACAAAGGCAGCAGTAACAAAAAGCAAAAAATCAAGAAGTGGCCGAAAAAAAGAAATGTGAAAATAGTAAAGAAAAAAAAGAAGTGACAATTGCGTTCTATCTCAGGCATTTTCTCGATTGTTGCTCCATTTTCATGGTTTTTACGGATTGCTGGCTACGCCTTTTTACCCGCTAGGCTCGAACAGGTGACACTTTGACAGTTGGCAGTCATTTTAAGTGGATTTTTACTGACAGCTCTACTTGTCAATTTTTCCTCGAGCAAAAGTCGTCGCCGAAATGTATGCTATGAATTGGAATGTACTTGAGATTGACGTAATGTAATATGCTCAACAAATTGTGGTAAATATTGTTATTCCCCGAAAGGAAAATATTTTTCCTAAACCTTAAATAAAAAACAATTTTTCATTTTACACAGAACGTGTTAAAAATACTTCTCCTTCCCAAATACTTTATCTCATTACCAAAATTATTTTAATTAAATTGTTTGCAGATTGTTTACACTCATTTTTGTGGCATGAAAAAATAAAATAAAATAAAATGCAGCCGGAATTGAATGAAAGTAATTAAATACAAACAACTGGATCAAGAGCAATTAAATTAAAAGAGCATTTGCTAAAAATTTGTAGTTGGTAAAAAAAACATTTTCAAGGACTGATATAAGCAAAACACATTTGATGCACTAACCTGTTCATAAATGGCAGCTAAAACGGCATCCCGAAATTGAATGGAAAATGGGGGAAAATTTTAATTTAGCATCGCCCTTTGTGGGCGGTTGTTTGGCTCCCTTATTCGGGGGGATGGGAGGTAAACACAAAATTATGCACCCTGAATATGCTGTGGCATTAATTAAAAGCGACTTCATTCCGTCGCTCGGCTATTCTGTGGTTTTGTAGGCGAAAGGGATGTCGGAAGTGCGGGCGGAGCTACACTGACCACAACATTTATGGGCATTACGCATGGTCCACACAGAACACGCAGTACAACCGGTGTGCTTAATATGCCCTTTAAATGGACTTGTTATGGTTGCTTATTTTTGGCACTGACTGTACCACAGCACTAGCCACAGAATTGCCCTTAACGTAAGAATTTTTAGTTGCCTCTCAGTTGCACTTAAATTGTTTCTTAAGCGATTAAAGGGATTAAAAGTTATAAACCATTAAAAATGTAAAATTCTTTAAAGAGATTTTATTTAAACAATTTCATGATAAATATACATTCATGAACTTAATAATGATTTAACTTTTTAAAAGAATTGCTATCATGCACCAATCATTTAAATTTAATAGCTTACTTCAATAAAGCTATTTGACTTTCCATTTACGGAACACGTACGCAATGTCCTACATCCTCCTTTTTTATGGCCTTCAACCTTGCAACCTTATCGACAGCATCGCAGTTCGCCAGCTGACCTTTCTGACAGCCACCTATCACAACGGGCCAACTGCATCCATCAAAATGTGGGTGGTGCTTCGATTGGTTGGGCCGGAGGGTGGGTGGTCTGCAGACACGGTCGAAACGATTTGTCTGCCGGCCAACTCGTCCAGCCAAATGGCATTGCATGCCAATGCATTGGGGCCACCTTGGCCGCCCTTTTGCTTTTGACTGTGACACGTTGACGTCCGAGCACGCATATTCGTTTCCTGCCAATGGCCGTCATAAATAACAATGCACAGAGGCGGATGGGGGAAATTAAGATGGCTGAGAGATGGACAGAGGTTGATCATATCGCCGTGACATCCAAATGGCGGCCAAAGGTCGGACTGTCGGTCAGTTGCCCTTTAATTATCTGAGGCTTAAACGGATTTTACGATAAATCAATCACTTGATTTTCTTTATACATGAAATAAGAATTAAGTCATTGCAAAGAAAGTTCTTACTTTTCATTCAATTAGTAAAAGTTCGTAGTCTTCAACCTAAACATAAGTTTAAAATTCTGATGTGCTTTTAACAGATCATATTAAAGTGACAAACTGTCTTTTACCTTTAATTACCTGAGCCCCGAAAATTAATCCAACCAAATGTGCGGCAACTATTTTCAACCACGTGACACTTTAATAGTTTCAAGCCCGGAAAAGCGGAAGCTCAGTTGGCAGGCTACCAAACTTGCTGACAACACTGCCAAAAAAAGACGGAGAGCAGTGCAAAATTAAGCCATAAAAGTTTTTACACCTCTCTCACACAGAACAGGTTGTCGGCCCCCAGCTCCCTACTTTTCCTCATTTTGCAGCCCTCCCCCTTTTTTGGGGCACTTTGCTGTCAGCAGTTTTGCACGATTTCCATACAAGAGGGTTGCCAGGCTCATAATAAAACACTTTATCATTACCAAAGTTGACAGGGCGGTGAATGAGCGCTACACTGCCGTATAAGAAGCTCCTGGAATAATTATTCAAAGCGCTGATTTTGTGCAGGGACCGTAAAGAAATTCGTTGCATGTTTTTAACAAAAGAAATCACTGCCCAAAAAATTACTTTAAAAATTTAAAATATCATACATTAATAGTAAAAATAAACCAAAATTTAATTTTCGAATTATAAAATTTAAATATTTTTTACAATAAAGTTACGTTAATTTTTTTTTTGCATTTTCATATAACCAATTTATTTATCCATAAACATTGACATTTTTCCAGTGCATGGCCACAAATTTCCGCTGGTCGGTGAAATATGTTTGCAAAATATTTTTAAGGCCAAACATGGGGCATATATAATATTGACATTGACAGATTAGCTGCCTTGCACATTCACTCACTTATTACCAGTGAACTCAATTAGTAGTTTGTCGACAAAGAAAAAATCGAAGTCGAAACCTCAATTGAAACTGCGGATAATGATAAATGATGTGGTGTCAACTGCAGGCAACTTCTGCGAGAAATTGTTTCAAAATGCATGTGATCCTAGTTTTTTTTTTGCAATCTCACCATTCTTGAGTATTAATCTAAAGCGTTTTTACATCGACCAATTGAATTAGTCGACAAATAGACGGCAATGGTGGGAGACTTTCAATTGTCCCGGGCCAAAATGGCACGTCTTGTGTGCCGGCAAAGTTTGAAATTTAGCCAAGCTGAGCTGGACATCAATAACGTGCTAAAAACTTTGCCATAAACTCTTGGATATCCTGTCACTCCTGTTCTGCAGACATCACCATCGACCTCATCCCTCAGTTGGTCGCCTCATTGATATGCCAAAAGTCGAATTAGTTTGCAGAGTGGGTGGAATTCGGCTGGTCCGTCGTTCAGTTCAGTTCTTTGTGTTTGTCTGACTTTGACGTTGCCCAGTCTGAGGACCTTGGACTGCAGTTTAGTGGGTATATTTGCCACCCAGAAACGCATAAAATTGGTCAAAGCTGTGGGTAATAGGTGGCATGAATAGCAGTTAAAGCCACTTTGGGAAAATCTGGATTAAAGCAATCGATGGGGCTTAAAGAAAAAGAGTTGATGGAGATGAAGAAGTTGAGTCAGTGAAATACAGTGAGTTTTTAATCTTTAAAGTATTTAAATATATTTTGCTATGTTTTTCATCCATTGCCGTTTTCATCAATTTAAAAAATAAAAATCTTATGATGGTTAAATTAACTGGTTAAAACATTGATTTGAAATTAAAACCTTTTAAGACATAGTATTTAAAGAATTTGAAATCTTTTTTTGGAATTAAATGTGAGGTAATTTTTGCTTTTATTATATTGTAATAAAATTTTTGAATTTAAGATTTATTTTTGTTAATTTTTTTGGGTAATTTGCACCAATTAATTAAATTTATTAATTCATTTTAATTTAATCGCCGATACATTTTAGATTTTTACCGATATATTTTTCCTTCCTTTTAAAGGTCCGCAGACTTAATAACCCACACCCATTTAAAATTCTTTTTTGATTTCTTTAATGACCCTACAATTTATTACATCTGGTCGATAGCCAAAAATAATTATGAATGATTATAGTACAATGATTTATCTGTGGCAATTTAGATATTCTTGGACTCGAGACACTCTCTGCCAGCCAACTCAGCCCCGGGATGCGGCCGAGTCATAAACATTAAATACAAACATTGAACAAGGTCTGGTATCCCTTAGTCCTGGGACGTCGGTCAGAAGCTAAAAACGTTGGGTGAACACATTATCATCACCATTGTCATCTCACATCTATATATGTATATATACACATTTGAAGCCAAATATTCAATTCCCGGGGCGTCCAGAGTCGCCTGTCAAAGAACCAGAACCAAAACGTAATCGTAGTCATCCCGACATCGAAAATTAGAACTTATTTGGGCTGTTCGGGGCAGGCGATTTGGTAGAGGAACTGCACCAGAGTCCTTGTGGGCCTGCCAGTCATCCGTCCAGCTGTGAGATAGGGTATTAGTCCATAGGTGCTTAGCAATCCAGTGCCATAGGTGTCCAAATGGGCCCAATCGCTGCAGGGCACCAGTTCGTGGAGAACAGCGGCAGCCAGACAGGACGAGGCATAACCCTCGCCGTCGTTTAAGAGATCGAAAGCTCAAATGCTCGGCCACACGATCCTTGTAGTAGCGCCACAGGGGGAAGCGCCACAAACGATCGCCGGTCAGGGAACCGGCCCTCTGGAACTGTTTCCAGATGTAGTGCGAATTCGACCAGATGCCCGTGGCTCCACCGCCCACCGCCTTCTTGACGCCCTTGCACATTGAACCAACATCCACGACGAGTCGCGGTTTGTAGGTGATCTGTCCATAGAGCATTGGATCCGAGATGACCACCACTCCAGTTCGGCTAATATTACGCACGGCCAGGGATTTTGAATTCAGCAGGGTGACCACATCGCCCGGCTTGCAGGACATTCCAGAGGGCAAATTTTCGCAAAGTGGTATGACAGCCGTGATATTAATGGGCAAAGATAGAGCAGCAGCTGCCCGCATGGCGGCCAAAATGGAGGCGGCACCGGTGAGATCTCCGCGGAACTCGTCCATTCCCTTGCAGGGACGCAGATTGATGCCACCTGAATTGAAGGTAATCCCTTGGCCCACCAGCAGAATGGGCTTGTCCTCGGGCGCAGTGCCGCAATAGGCGACCTCCAGGAGGACGGGTGGCTCACAGCTGCCCTTGGCGATCATCAGGAATGAGTTCAAATGCTGCTGTTCAATCCACTCCATGGTTCGAACCTCCACGGTGATGCCGCAGGGGCAGAGGGCATCCACCGCCGCTTGGGCCACAATAGTTGGGGTCATACAATTGGCCGGCGCATCGCAGATTCTCCTCGCCAAATTCTGTGCCTCCGCCTTGAACAAACCCCTCGTCCAGGACTCGACATCCGGTGAACCGTGCAGCTCTAGTTTTGGTATAGTGCTGCGGTATTTTTTCGCCAGATTCTCCTCGTAACGCCAAATGGCCAGGGCGGCTCCCTCGGCAGCCTGCTCCGCATAGTCCATATTGTCTACGTGGACTTCAGAGCAGCCTATACTCTGCAGAGATCTTGCACCAATTCCAGCGGCAATGCGGACATTTTCCATTCCCTCATCGAGCATCTCCAGTTCATTGAAGGCTATGCCTTCGAGGCCAACGCCGACCACGCAAATCGACCGAAAATCGTTGTCCACATTATTGAAGACCTTGCCGCGACCCAGTCGCCCAGTTAACTTGGTCTCACAGACCAATTCGGATAGTTTGCCCTGGACGCGATCGTCGAACTTCTCGCCCGCCGGCGTTAGTCGCGGACCCTTGCCCGATTCCTTTTCGTAGAGTCCCAGGACGATTCCCTTGCCGCCCTTTACGGCATCTCCTGCTCCACAACCAGCGGTCACATGGCGAACCGATCCTATTTGACACGTCGGCACTCGAACTCGGCTCAAACTCCTCGCCAATGCCGGTCCCTTCAGCAACAGTTGTCCACGCATAGTGTTTAGAGGTATATAGTACCAGATATACTATACTATACTATGTATACGCGCGATTAGTATCTGCACAATTTTGACAACTGCTTTTCGTTTCACGATTTACGGCCAACTCTCTCTTTAGGATGTGTGTGTATGTTGGGGTCTCTAAAGAATTTGGAGTCACTACGTTCAGAAGTTTTGTCAAGTGTCCAAAAAATAAAATGTTCAAAAATGTATTGGTATACCAACTCAAAATGTGTAGTAAAAAATAAAACAAAAGAAATGCGGAGTCTGCTTTCCTTGTTAAAAACCGAAAGACTAAATCAACCCGAACAATTTGTTATGAACTGTAAAGAGACAGATTACTAGATCGGTTACAAATCGGAATTTCAAACTGGGAAGTGTTAGATAAATAATACGATTAAATTTATAATTATTAATAATAAAAAAACGCAGAATAGACCTGCTAATAAATTTTTTGCGCTATTCTGGTCCATATTAAACCAGAAGTTTATTAATTTAAAAAAAAAAATATATAGATATTTTTGCGAATATAATATCGTAGTTGGCATACTTTTAAATTTCTACCAAATATGCATTCATTGCCTACTAAACGTGCACATTATAGTTAATCCAATCCTATTTATTACTGCAATTTTTGCACTTTAAAATAAATAAATTTAAAATGTAACTGCACTTTGGATTTCAAACCTAAATGTACCCATCGAAACGAGTCAAACCCTATTTGGGGTTGCTCTAGCTTAGATCCTGCTTGGATCATGTAGCGTAAGACAGCACTTACTTCATAGGAAAAATATACGTATAAAACCATTTTTTTTAATTAAAAATAAATATTACATTACATCCCGAAGATTAAAAAAAGGGCAATTGGCCCTTAAAATATAGCCATTATTTACTTGAAATATTTTCATCGCTATAATATCTAAATGTGGGCTAGTACTTTAGATTTTGAATTCTCTTTTGAACTGCAGTTAAACTACCTAAAAAAGTTGCACAGTGAAATTCGTAACCTAACAATCTGTTTGCTTCGACCACGTTAACTTTTAAATTCGATATCTTACCAGCAAGTCAAAACAGTGGACCGAAAGGGGAATCGAAAACTGCTCCGAATCGTGTGCGTTGCCAATGGAGAACTCAAGAAGCGATCCTTGGAAGTGTCGTGTATCCCTGTCTGCTGGCCGACAAATCTCCTGCTGATCCTGCCGATGACACAGCTCGATATTTTGAGTGTCCAAAGCGCGATTAACGTTCGGCACAAATACAATTTACTTAAAATGTTTATTCGGGTAAAATTTTGAAATATTCATGGGGAATTCTCGTTTTAAAGTGAACTTGGATCGATTGACTGTCATGTCGATGATATCGGGATTTCTTTTATCATTATTTATTATTATTACAAATTATTACAACCTATGATGTCCACACAAATTCAAATGTTTGTTTAAATTCCTCATAAAAGGTTGATGTAATTAAAGCACGAAGCTCTTTTATTATCATTAAATCCAAAACCAGATTTAAACATTTTCTGAGTTCCTAAAATGTTGGGAATATTAGGATCTCCGGATTTCATTGTCTTTTAGACGACCCCTTCCTACTGGTTGCACTTGCGTATTTATTAACTCTTTTTCACTTTTCTTCACACTGAATAAAAGTGCGCAAGAAAAACTGATTGCCGCATATTTCCCACGTGGTGGAAAAGTTTTTCCCAACAATAAAATGGCAAGCGGTGCAGTAAAGTTTATGGAAAAGTTTACTCTTCTGTTGATAGCAAATGTCGTTTATTGTCGCAGGCAAAACAAAACGAAGAATGAACAATAAAAATATTGTTGACAAATTAAATCTAACCAGCCATAAGTTCAAGTGTGCATTTGGAAAATATAAAAATAATAAATCAAATATATAATTTTAATTTTTTCTAATTCTATAATTTAGGCTTCCAACAAAATTACAAAAGGTTTATCAAAAGTTCCACGTTCAGTCCAGCAGATGTGTTTCAATGTTGATGACATTTCCGGGCAGGTTGGAAGTCTCCTCCAAGGATACTCCTCCCCCAATTATTTGCGGCCAATAGGGTACCGAAGCCACTGCCAAAAGGCGGCGCCAAAAGAGCACCTGCAGTTGTCCATAAAGTTGAGTGGCCCTCCAGTTCGAAATGCAGAAATGCTGAATCACCATATATAGTCGGATATAGTTGATCAATCCGCTGGCCACAAAAGTCAATATCCAGGGCAGCGCAAATAGACTGAATTTATTCCACGAAAAGGGTGCCAATCGCGTTGCTGAATCTTGTTTATTTCTGGCTATCCAATTATTTTTAACCTCGGCGGCTGTTTTTGGTTCCGATACCTTCAGGATGCCCTTTTTTTCCTCCGATTCCTGCCGCTCGGTACTTTGTAAGTGTCGAATGTACCAAAGTCCGATCATAACCAGCAGGGAATACATCAACGCTTTCACAAACATCCAGTGATTGTAGATATAGCCCAGTTGGAGCGTTAGGTTACGGTCCACTGAGGGATAAACCGTTTTGATATTGGCATGTGCCTCGACAACGGGCTGAAGATCTGAGCACAAGTGCAGTGATGTCAGCAGCACAAAGTATCCGATGTCACGTATCTTGGCTTTGAACATGTTTTTGGAATTTGGAGTTGGAAGAAAAAATTTTCTAAAGCAAAGATAAATTTGTTATCAGTTAATAAAGGGGGTACAAATGCTCTGACATTGTGGTTTGGAACGAAAAAACAAAAGTGTCTAAAGGTCTGAAAACAGATCCTGTAAATATTCTTAATCTAAAAATATTTGTCCATTTAAAAACTAATTACCAAACATTATTTCAGGCTTATTTAAAAATCTATTTAATTGCTTCATCACAATATTAAGTTTGTACTTTATTTCTTGATATTTATCGATTTTAATTGAAATCTTTAATGTTAAACTTTCTCTTAAGATAGAGTGCCATAAAACTTTGCTGTAGCTCGATTTATATCGTAAGCAATCCAGTTGGTTTCCAGAAGATAGTCGCCTTCAGGAAAGGGTAAAATTTTCGAAACCCTGTAGTTAATAAATTCGGCGCTCAATTTTTCGAAGATGATATCCGTCTAAAAGAAGCTAATGAAAAACATCTAAAAACCATAAAACATAACCGTCATCTTACAACAAAGGGGCAGGTGTGATTTATGTTTGTGTGGGTTGTCAAGAATCCGTAAAAATAATTAGCTTGCGGGTTGGACGAGGGATCCGAAAGGAATCTGCAGGCATCCACAGTGATATTGAATAAAAAGGGTCTGTATCCATTAAAGCGTTTTTTCATTGCTATGTTTACCTTAAATTACAAAATAGATTAATATAAAAACCAAACAAAAAATCAAATGGTAGATATACTCAGCATTGGCATAGGCTTACTTTCACTTTGGTCACGGGAGTCTTGAATAAATTAACTTTAATGGATACGTATTTGTATGTCCGATTCACGGATTTTAGGTAGCAATATTCAAAGTCATCGAATTGCTTATCCAAGGAATTGCACTTTACATTCGTAAATTCAAACTTCGAAAAGTTCTGCGAAGTTACAAAAAAGAGTTAAAAATAATGCGTAGTTTCGATTAGGCAATATTGGAAAGCACTCACCTGATTGATTAATAATAAAATGACAATAAGCTGAAGAAATTGTTGTAAATTTTCAGACATAATGGAAGCTTGCACGCCTAGATGGTACTAAAACCACACAGTTTTACTGTTCATGTATTCATCCATAAATATAGATAATTAACTATACTTGTAATTATAATTAGTTCATATAGTTGTTAAATTGCTTCCAAATGTAGTTATTTCACGGCATTTAGCCAAAAAGTTATTTTAGCTAACTAATCGTTAAATAATATAAAATCGATTACATTTATCTTTGAATTTTGGTTCCGCTTTAGCTGGCGAAGCTTAAGAAATTACACGTTTACAAAAAAATTCGACGTCACCCTAATTGAAGACAACCTTAATTTTCTGCTAAAGAACAGTGTAAAAAACGTTTTTGGCCTTTTTTATTTTCTATCTTTTGTTCTGGTAAACCGATTTTGGTCATCTTAGACTCATTTTACATGTAACAAAATGTCCTTTAACTTTCTTGTATACATTGAGTTCCAGTCATTAGTTTAGAAGCTACACCGCGTCAAAGCTAGAAAGTTCAAAAAAATTCAAAAGCTTTGGCATAAATGGCTTCGTTAAACATACACGCCTAAAAACCGAAATTTATAACTTATTCTGGTAGATTGTTTGACAAAAGAAACGAGCTAATGATCATTAGAATCCACCAGAAATGAATTTTAAATTAATTTTTTAAGTTTGGGACAACGATGATGTTTTGTCCGGTTACAGCTGTTAACTGAGACCAGTTTTGACCGTTTTGCCCAGCTTAAAAAATAGATATAAAATCGAACTTTTGGTTGTTAATTAAGTTAATGGTCTTGTTAGTTTGCTTAAAGTTGTATTTTTAAGAAGAAGTTATAAAACTAGTTTCGGTTTGTAGGCGTGAATTTTTACTTGAAAATTATCAATAATAGTGAAAATATTTAATGTTTAACTTTCTCTTAAGATAGAGTGCCATAAATCTGTAGAAGAGCTCGATTTATATCGTAAGCAATCCAGTTGGTTTCCAGAAGATAGTCGCCTTCAGGAAAGGGTAAAACTTTCGAAAGCCTGTAGTTAATAAATTCGGCGCTTAATTTTTCGAAGATGATATCCGTCTAAAAGAAGTTTATGAAAAACATATAAAAAACCATAACACATAAACGTCTTCTTACAACAAAGGGGCAGGTGTGATTTATGTTTGTGTGGGTTGTCAAGAATCCGTAAAAAAAATTAGCTTGCGGGTTGGACGAGGGATTCGAAAGGAATCTGCAGGCATCCACAGTGATATTGAATAAAAAAGGTCTGTATCCATTAAAGCGTTTCTTCATTGCTATGTTTACCTAAAATAAAAAAAAGAATCAAACGAAATATCGTATGGTAAATATACTTATCATCGGCATAGGCTTACTTTCACTTTGGTCACAGGAGTCTTGAATAAATTTACTTTGATGGAAATGTACTTGTATGTCCTATTTACGGACTTTAGATAGCAATATTCAAAGTCATCAAATTGCTTATCCAAAGAAGTGCACTTTAAATTTGTAAATTCAAACTTTGACAAGATCTGCGAAGTTATAATAATGCGTAGTTTCATTTAGGCAATATTGGAAAACACTCACCTGATTGATTAATAATACAATAACAACAACCTGAAAAAATCTTTTCAAATTTTCGGGCATAGTGGAAGCTTGAATACCTGGATGATACTAAAACCAAACACTTTTAGTAATCATGGGGTCATCCATATCTATAGATAATTAGTTTATATATAAATAAACTTAGTTAAATTGCTTCCAAATTTCACGGCATGAAGTCAAAAAGTAATTTTATCTAACTAATCGTAAAATAATATAAAATGGATTCCATTTATCTTTGAATTTTGGTTCCGCTTTAGCTGGCGAAGCTTTACAAATTATAAGCTATTTTTGACTCAATTCTTTATAAGGCATTGAAATTTGTTTATTATTTGGGTGGCTCCTTTAAAATGGAACTCGTCTCGAATTTGTTGTACAATTTAAAATATAATTTTATAATATTTCCAAAGTGAATAGAAATTTACCAATTTAATACTAATTTCGTTGACGATGTAACGGGGTTACATACTAATTATTTTACATATCAGCTAAGTTATTTAAGCCCGAGGAGACAAAAATGGTATTAAATCGTTTTTGTGATCTAGGGGTTAAACTCCTTCAGTAATTACCCCCACCTTTGTGGATTTTCAAAAAATTGTTTTGTCAACTAGTGTTGTGGATTGGCAAAAGTTAGCACGGACACCGAACCTGGTGTGGATCTTTGCTAAAAGTGTGAAAAGCCCCCTTAAGTATTATACTTTTAGTATTTATTTCCACGCGCGTTATTATTCGGCCGGTAACTCTGCGACCACACTATTCGCAAAAACATTTTTTGAGACGACGGAAACCTTTTGAAATTTCCAGCAAAATAGGAAAATCACGCAGGATGGAGCGCAAAATGGCGCACAACTTGTCCCGCGGGGAGCAGCGCAGCAGTGATGTGGAACCGGGTCAGGTGAAGACCTTCGAGGAACTGCGTCTATCGCGAAACCTAATGAGGGGCTTGAAGCGCCACAATTTTGTGACGCCAACGAAGATTCAGGCGGCTGCCATTCCGATGGCACTGAGTAATATGGGTAAATATGAGAGAAAGTACGTGATTTCCAGGGGGTTTACCAATAATCGGTGCTACCACAATCCACAGATTTGCTGGTCCAGTCGAAGAGCGGAACTGGCAAGACGCTGATCTACGTTATAGCCGCCATGCAGGGCTATCATGAGAGAATGTCGCGTCCTCATGCCTTGATTGTGGTCCCAACTCGAGAGCTGGCCATCCAGGTGGAGGATACGTTCTTCTATCTCTGCGAGTTCTATAGGGACTTCAAGCCCTCGTCGTTTATCGGTGGCACCGATGTGGCCACAGATCGCCGGAGGATCAAGAAGAGTCGCATAATCATTGGAACCCCCGGACGTCTATTGCACCTCTATCAAAATCGTGTGCTGGATGTCTCCAAACTGGGGCTCCTCGTTCTCGACGAGGCCGATCAGTTGTATCAGACGAAGAGCCTGCAGGACACAGTCAGTCAAATCATAGAGGTTCTGCCCAAAAACCGTCAGATAATCGCCTGCAGTGCCACCTACGATCAGGATTTGGACGAGCGTCTGGCCAAGATCATGAACAAGCCAATGCTGATCTCGAATTCCGAAAGGGCCACGGTGCTTCTGGGCATCCGTCAGTTTGTCTACGAGCTGCCGCCGCAAAACAATAGTGCCGAGGAGATGCGCCTTAAACTGCAGATTTTATCCCAGATTTTCAACCAACTGCCCTACGAACAGGCCGTCCTCTTTGCCAGCTCGCAAATGCGAGCGGATTCGTACAAGAACTACCTGACAGCCAGCGGTGTGGAGTGCCATCTGATCTCGGGAGCCATGGAACAATCCGAGCGCTTGAATGTCTTCGAGGGCTATAGAAACTTCACCATGCGCACTCTGGTGGCCACCGATTTGATGGCACGCGGCGTGGACTCGCCACATGCCAATCTGGTTATTAATCTCGATCCACCCAGCGACCATGTGACCTATCTGCATCGCATTGGCCGAGCTGGTAGATTTGGTTCAAAAGGCATAGCCATCACTTTTATTGCCTCCCAAAGGAGAGCCAAGAAATTCAAGCAAATGTCCCAAAAGGTCGCCACGGCTTGGTCGGTTCTGGAGTTTCCCAAAGAACCCATGCCCAAGGATTTCAATTTCTGGGATTTCGACAAGTACAATTTTGGGTATTTCATCAAGGAGGACAATCCGCTACAGGAAATGCCTGCGAAGCGCCCAAAAGATAATCCCAACAAGGAGGAATTGGGCAAAGATCTGGATAAATCTGATGTTACTTCAGAAAAAGTGCCAAAGGCCTTAGAAAATCTTCAAAAGGAAGAGGGTGATGTAAAGGAGATTAATGAATTGAAAATCGAATGCGAAGACATCGCAGGTTGTTGCTAAAATTATACCAGAGGCCTTAGAAAATGTTAAAGATAGTAATCAAAAGAGTAAGTCAAACAAGGAAAAGCTGGACTTGGAAAACGTACCAAGTACCTCGCACAAAAACTAAAACTCCCAATATTAAGGAACTAAAACAAGTCGAGGAGGACATTTTGAAGAAAGCTTGCTCCAAAGGATCAGAAAAATCCGTAAAAGGCAAAGATACTAGTAAAACCATAAGTCCATCCAAATTATTTGCAGATGCTTTATCGCAGATTGAGAAGCAAACAACAGAAAAAGTTGAAATGCCGCAAACGCCAATAATCAAGGTGAATGAATATTATATAGACAACTACATTGAAGAGGGCATTAAGCCAACAGACGACAAAGAGAATCAACCTGATAACGGAACGAGCTCTCAACTGCAGACGAAGAATATCCTAAACCCCGAGGAGATACTTTCCCCGGAACTGACTCCAACCCTGACGCAGGAACCATCGCCCACAACTGTGACGCCACCGGCACCGCCAGTCAACTCGATTAACAACAAGACCTACTGCCTGGCTGCCCCCACACAGACCAGCTCGATGACCATCCAAAATATGGTCATATCAAACACGGTGGACGATGCCAGCAGCATTAGTTCGGATAGCTTGGGATGTGGCTATCACAGTGACAAGTCCTACGACACCTTCTACACAACCAGTGATGAGGAGCTAATTTGGGAACGATTGGAGACTAAAAAGAAGCGTCTGCTGAAGAGAAGCAAGGTAAAGCGTCGTCAGCTTCTGTACAAAAAACCACTTCCGGAACAAAATGTTAACTTGAAGGCCAAACGTAAATATAAACTAAAGGTGAGTAAAGAGTCAAACGAAAATCTCAATGAGTTACTGTAACCTTTTATTTTCCCTTACAGAAACCTGAGCAGCACACCAATTTATCACTTTTGCCTGGTACAAATCTGAATCTTATGCTCAAGAAAGCCAAAAATCGCGAACGAATTTTGCAAATGCTATACGACTATAGCAAGAAATACAATATGGATAATGCAAAGGTGGCCATCTTGCTGGATAATTTCTATGACACCGTGCTCGAGCTGTACTATGATGATATTAAGGAGCAAAAGAAGCAAGTATTGGAGTCCCTTAAGGATGACTTGGTGTCCCTTGGACGTGGTCCCAGTCACGAGTCTTTGGTATCACAGAAACCGGGGACGCAGAACAAGCTGAGTGTTCATGTGACCCATAATATGGACATTCCACCTGTGCCACAAGCGGACAATGAAGACGGCTCTGAAAGCGAGTCCGAATCGGAGGACTACGACGATGGCGAAGAGGTCTATATTGACGATGAGGACGATTTGAGTGACGAACACAATTCCTCGAGTGGTTTTGTCGAGAGCAACGAGAGTGCTTCATCCGGGATTGATACCTCGGTTTACGAAACGGATTCAACAAGCACATCGAACGATGAATCACCATCCCTTCTCTCAGAGGTTGAATCTCGTAGTGACCACACTTATCAATTTGATTCCTCCGACGAAGAGGATGAATCCGGAGATGAGGAGGAGGTGGAAGAGGAGGAGGAAGCTCTAAGCAACGTCAGCTTGGCTGGATCAAGCTCTCTGGGATCTGCGGGAGTGCAAAGCGCCGTTGAGCCTTCGGTGGAGGACTCAGATGATGATTCGGATGGGGAGTCAGAAGATGATTCGGTCACTGTGACTGAGTTCAAACCCGTGCAGAGCGTCTCGAACAATGCCCAAACTCTTTGGCATCAGACTTTTAACATGCAGTATCAATTCATTGCATCCCATGTGGCCAACTACATGCGAAACTATAACTAAATTGCTATGGAAGCAAGACTAGTCGAAACTCAGGCATTATAAATATATCTAAACACTTTATTCACGAACAATACGGATCAGTTCCAAGAGGCTGTATCAGTCTCTCTCTCTTTTTACATCTTTATATCTTAGCCCGTTGAAACTTTTTTTTTCATTTGAATACTCAATATCAAAATAGTTGATACCATGTTATGGACTTTGGAAAACGCACGATGAATGTTTTGTATGCAAACAATAAATTGCAGACTTTGTTACCAAAAATAAATGAAATTAAACATGAAAACTTTGCTTATTTTCTTGCAGGTTGGAAACTTTAAACTTATCTTGTACGATATACAAAAATAATTTATTTTATGTTTACTCAATCTGTAATAGCATCGAACAAATTAATCCGCAATGTGAAAGTTAAAGCCCTTTAATCACAAGCCATAATTTATCTAAGAGATGGGAAAACAAACATTTTCCTTGGTTTTGGCAAGGCGGATGAAGGTAAAGAAGCGGCGCCAACTGAGTGCCGGGACATAAATCATATAGTCAGAGGTGTTAACCCATTAATTAGCACTTGTCAAAAATCGTCCACTGGCCATCGAAAGTCACTTTTAAATCACTGCAACAGATAATAAAATTTTAGTTGAAATTGACTATTAATTGTAACTATCTTTTTACTTAATCAAAAAACGTTTTAGTTTAGAGTAACTAAAATTTTCATATTGAGTTAATATATATTTAATATAATAATTTATATTTTATTTATAATTATTTATAGTATATGTTGAGTTTTGGTTTTTCAACTGTATATAAATTTAAAATTAATTTAAAATATTTGTTTTTGAAATACATTTTTAAATGGTTACCCATTAAATGTAGTATCTTAAGTAGACTCTTTAAGATATATCTTAAATAGACTCTTTAAGATATTATAAGGGGAAAACTTTATGTTTACCTAAAATGATAGTATACTAGCAGTATCAGTACTGATTTTAAATAACATGCTGAAATTTAAGAAGGTATTTTTTAAAAATGTATATATTTTTTTTATTTATTTATATTTGCTTTTATTTTTTTGGGAGTGGTTTTTAATGGGTTAAGCCAAAGAGACGGTCCACAGGCGGCCAGCCGCGTCGGTGGCATAGTCAAAACATTCGCCCTGCGGTCGAGCACGCAAAAAGCCGGCATCTGGATGGGACTGCTGCTCAGTGGTCTCCGATCTCCAGTGCCCCAATCCCAGTCCCAATCCCCCGATCCACCGACCTCTGAAGGCCCCCCTTGCGCTCCGAATCCAATAAGGAGCGTGAGAAAACGCGCCGCCGATCGCAAATGCAAAGCGAGTTGGAAGCGACAACATTTTATAGATCCTAGAGACATGGAGAGCTGCATTTTGTCGCTGCCGCAGTGGCAGCAAACTCAATTCGATTAGCGATAAATGCGAGATGCGAAAAATGCTCGGCCAGCTGTTGCAGGTGTTAAAGTCTTATAATGATGTTAACATTTTTATGGCCCACAACAAAATAAACTAAAAATTTGTTCGGCGCAATAATATTTTGCGGTTTCGCCGTCGTCCATATATGGGGGCACAGCCAATTGCCGCCGCTTTTTCGTATTTTGTATCTGGGGGTCAAGTGGAACGCTCCAGGGGCCAGGGCAAGTTGCAGATACAGATACATTCACACCGGGCCGCACCAAAATAATTAAAATTGCTGAACGTCGCAAAAACAATTATAGCCAAATTAATGGAAAATTAGCCAAAACATCAATATGATTTTCAAGTTTTTGTGAAAAATTGTTAGTTGAAACAAAAACAAGGTATAAATGATACTTTGGAAACTGTAAGATAGAAATGAGGAAAAAGTATGATTTAACATTAAAAAAATAAATGTAAGTTTAAAAATAATTTGAGAAAAAAAAGTCTAAAACATTTTTTTGACATTTTTAAAGACAACTTTTAAATGTGGGAATTGTTAAAATTATAATTATTATTTTTAAAATATTATTTATGTTTAAAATATTTGGTAGGCCGTAAACTAATTTTAAAATCCATATCCACAGCTTTAAAAAATAAAATAAAGAGGCAGACAGAGGAAGAAAAAAACCATTAGTCTCCCAACTCCTAATTAGAATTTATTGCTTATGAAATTATGATAAATGAAGTGGAGATCTCAATTAAGATGGGCACCGCACTAATCAATTTAATTTAATACTAGCCCTTGGCTAACCTAAGATTTCAGCACTTAAAGATATACATGTTGCACCTCCTCCCCCATCTGCCCCCTTTATCACCACTTTGTGGGAGTGGCCCAGCGCCGATTTATGTGACCGGGTGCCCGACGCCCGGCCACGCATTCATAAATAAAAGTCATCATTAATTAAATTTAGTATAAACAACATGGCATGCCTGCAATTATTCACTCACTCATTCACTCGCTCGTTGCTCTTTCGGCCCAAAACGCGACGACATGCCGAAAAGTAAAGAAATAAAATAAATAAAGCGTAAGAAGCCAAGAGAAAAAATAAATAAAATAAATAAGACGAAAAAGAAACGCTAGGAAAGCGCACGCAATACGCGCCAAGCAAACAAAACGAGAAAAAACCGTTGACAAAAATGATCTGTGGGCAATTATAATGAGTTATTTTGACACTTAGGGCCTGTGCAAATGCATAACTAAAATGCATAAACGTAATTTATGCAGTGCCCCACAGAACTGCTGTTTTATTGCATTTTAAATGTGATAAATAAACTTTTGCATATGTTTTCTTTTGGGTCACATAAATAGAGTCCTACTCAGGAAATATTTTCTCTGGCATTTTTCACTTAACTTCAGGTTGCATATGGCATGGAAAATTGCCCAGAATCCGTTTTTAATTGGTGAAAAATAGCAAAGATTTTCCACGCTCTCGGTGTCGGTGCTTTTTTTGCCCCAAAGGGTTTGCCAAGTAGCCACCTTGCCTGCCTTTTTGACCATAGCGAAGTCGCATTTTTTTTCCTTACCCGCGCAACTCGAGCGCGATTAACATCGCCCCAAAGATTCGCAATGCCAATAAATTGTGCACATTATGGCGGGGTGAGCCGTCAGCCAAGAGGTTGGCCCCAAGTTGAAGGGATCAGGGGCCACTACTCCCATGCGATTTAAACTTTTACGAGGCACTGTTTGAAAAGCTGCTGTAGTAGAACTCAGGTTTAATTAATTACGTAACGTAAAATATAAATTAATATAATTAAAAACTCAATGTTTTAGGGCTAATGTAAACATATTTATAATAAAATAAAAATTAAACAAAAAAGTAATTCAAATATTTTAAAGGTGCGTCATTAGGGATATTTTATCGTTATAATCTAATATTTTATGTAAGTTACAAAATGTAAATAAATATATTCTTTTAGTTTTCCAGTTAAGTCCATATTTGTATTTTATCTAGTAAAAATACCAATGATTATTCTCTGACCCTCCGGTTTTCCCAGAATTCCTCTTACTTTGGGTCACCTTTCAAAGCCCAATCATAAACCTCTTTTAGAACGTCGGAAAGACCGTTGAAGTGCCTTTATGGTGGTGCCCAATTGGTAGCGAGACTTTTGGCTTTTGTGGTTCCCAGGCGACTTGGAGCGAAACATGCGAGCTGCGGCTTTAATTGTTGCCGCTGCCACTGCCGCCAAGTGGATTTTCTAATGCAATTTTCCAAAACAGCTTACGCAATGCCCGGCAACAGTAACAGTCACCACCAGTAGAAACTGCAACTGCAGCAGCAACAATGGCAACATGTTGCAATGGTCTGCCGCCTTGAACGTGTTGCGCGCATAATTACTAAACGCAGTCAGTCGGTGAGTAACTGCGGCTTTTTAATACCACCTTTACCCGCCTGCCCCCAAGTTCCGCAGCCTTTGCTGTGTGCCGATCTGAGCCATAGTCCCAGATCCAGTACCAGATTCAGAGTCTCAAGCCCCGGCAGTAATCATTCCGCACATACGCGCATATTTAGCATTTTTAAATTGTTGCATTTCGCGCATTTTTTATGACAAGAGCAAGACTTTGATGCTGACGGTTGGCCATCACACAGAAAACAATTTTCAAAAATTTTTATCTTTTCTTTTATATTCATTTTGAATATACAAATTTAAATTTTGAATAAATAAATACTTTGAAGTCCCTTTTTGTTCTTTTTCTGTTTATTCTAAATGTAGAAAACCACAGTAAAAATATAATAAAATTGATTTCTATTTTTAAGGTTCAAATAAAATGATCTACAATTTTTTAAAAGTTTTTTTTCGGTGCCTTACTAAGCCACAGTGAAATCACCATTACCAACCGCAGACAACTTTACTCCATCCAAGTTCTCCATCCAACCAGCCAGCTGCTGTCTTTTGGTCCATTCTGCCGCACACATATGGCCCATAATTAAAATACATATTGCAAATCACACTAAATAGTTGCTGTTGCTCAGGTATTTCGGCAGTGATTGTTGTGGGGATTCAAGGGGGAGTTAAATATACTGATACTGGAAAGGTGTACCCACAGGAATTTTAATGGGTTCTTCTGGAATTAATTGGTGATAAATATAAGCTCCAAAAGGCTGGGACATTTATGCCAAGGGCAAGGGAAATTATTACGAGGTTTATTTTAAATGATTTATTATAATTATATTTTCTTAAAATAATTTAATATTTGGATTAAATTTTTCAAGACTTTTTAATAAAAACAGGAAAAGCTTTGAATTTTAATTTACTTTTTTTTCCAATTATACTATAATTCTTCTTATAATAAATATATTTTACATTTTATTTCGTATCATTAAAAGACACTAATTGGCCAATCTTTTAGGCCAATTAAGTAAATGATTCGAAGCATAACATTTGCTGTAAGCCAGCTTTTTATAGCACTATTCCTAATCAGCGGAAAAACTTGGGTAAATGAGAGAGTTACTGCACGAGCTAATAAAAGCTGGCTTTATCTTGGCTTTAGCTTTAGCTTTCTGTAGGATGAGGAATTAACATTTTAGAGACCCATAAAAATAAAATTACTTTAATTTAAGTGTTGTACAAACTCCATATAAAACAATTATTGAACTAGCCCACTTTATAGATATGCACCTCCATAAAACCAACTGCCCAGGGTAGATGTTGCTGTGCCGCAATTACTGTATTTGAAATAAAAAGAGTGCTAAATGTGTTTCGAGGTGCCTGAAGCGAAACGCATCGAAAATTGCCCAACAAGTGCCGTAGATTTCCTGTTAAACTGGTG